ACAGATCTTTGATGATGTCATCCTCCTGACCGATTTTTCCGTTCAGATACATGGAACAACCTGGGTTATTTAAGCAGTCTAAAACTCTTTCCGCCGAGAGCTGTGCAATTTTTCCGTAGTCTTCGAGATGTACATCTGGCTACTAGTGGCAGGACTGGTGTATAGGACAGTTCTTCATAGGGTACCAGTGTTATGGCGCTTCCAATTGCTCGTAGTGTTTGTTCAAAATTTGAATATGCACGGGGTGCATGCGGAAGTATCCCGGCCCCATTTCGTGGCGCACATCCGTCCAGGCAGAGCAGGTTGCATGCGAGGAGGTTCTGTCAGGATGCCTGTTCTGTGAAACATTGCCCCTGGTTTTGCGAGAACGGCTCCCGAGTGTCACATCAGCATGCACATCACAACCATCAGTACTTGGCCCAGCTATCGACCACAGAAAAAAAATAGAGTAGAAACGTTTCTAGTTGGATGAATTTGGCCGCTCCTGTAGTGGCCTGTACGTTTTCTAAAATCGTGTAGCGTTGAGGGGCACGACTTTAGGAAGTAAAAGTGCTTTATACCACCAGTACTTGGTCCAGCTATCGGCTGCGGAAAAAAATCGCGTAGAAATGTTTCTAGTTGGATGAATTTGGGCTCTCCTGTAGTGGCTGTACGTTTCATAAAATGTGTGGCGTTAACGGGCACAACTTTAGGAAGTACTGCAGTGGTTTAAGAGCGTTGTGTGGTGAAGGAAGAGCAGTGCTTTCAGGGCCGTAGTTGCTAATTATGTTTTTTTTTTTTTTTTTTGTGTGTGTGTGATGGAACCATTGGCGAAGGCAGTGCACTGCCATGATTGGTGTCACATACATCTGGAGATGTACTGGTCAAGGCTTGGATTTTATTATTATTATTATTACAATTATGTTTTATCCCCGAAAAATGCTGCTTTGCTGAGCCCTTTCCTGTACAAAAACTCCCGTGTTCCCCTCGCCCCTACCCCCGGAAGGTGGAAGTACAAGAAGATTAGAATGCCAGTCATGGCTTTTGAGGTTTCTGCAGCTTACACTCGTGAAAGAGTACCCGTCCCCCCCCCCCCCCCCCCATCAAACTAACCTCGTCCTCTCCAAATCTTTTTTTTTTTTTTTTTTTTTTTTTTTTTTTTTTTTTTTTTTTTTTTTTTTTTTTTTTTTTTTTTTTTTTTTGGAAGAACAGAAACCATGCGTGGGCTAGACTCTCGGATAGCAGGTAGACATTCGAAGGTCCCTTCTGACTAAGACATGTTGTACTGATACTCAGCCTTGCATCTACCTTCTTCCCCCGAATACAACGTACGGTCATTGTAGCTGTATTCGAGGCGTCTTTTTGTCTAGATGCAGCCATAATGATCGTACGTTATATTCGGGGGAAGGAGGTAGGACTGTTCCTTGTCTGTCCCATACTGCGCTGTGGTTGGGCAAACTGAGCGCTGTTCAAATTTCTAAAAGAGCCCAAGGGAGGGCTGGGTATGTTTCGTCCTGAGAGCCAGCAGTTCAAGTCCGTTATTACCTAGGTGCCTGAAAACAGATATGGTTTGGGATTCCCCTCACCACCACGACATAATGGCCTTTCGCTGTGCCCGGGCTTTACCTGGGTTCTTACTGCCGCCTTACCGTGGTCTTAGATGGGTCTTTACCGCCTCCTTACCCTTGTATTAGTGTGTTAGTGCTTGCGTCGGGCCGACGCAGGAACGAAGTACCTTCAGGTTGTCCTAAGGAGGCACTTGCACTTCCAGAGGCTGAAGTGTGTTAGTGGTCTCGTTGGGCCGCCGTTGGAATGAAGTACCCTGTCCTAAGTATGTAGTTGTGCCTGATGAGGAGGCACTTCCTATCGCACGGTTTGCAAGGGCAGCAACTTGAGAGTGTAGTGACATTAGGAAAGACCAAGACACTGCCCTTGGTACCTCACTATGTACAGTCACTATTGCTGTACCTAGACTGAAAGGTTAGCTGAATACGCCCTTTTTGCATTGTGGAATTGTGTGCGGGTGTGGTGTATGCGCGTATGTCTGTACAAGTGAAATGGGCAGCAAGTTGAGCGGTCTTATTGAACTCCCGACACCCCACTAGACTCAAATAAAATACACCTCACCAAAGGAATTATATGAAGTTTGTTAACCGTAAAGGGGAGAAAAGGAGGGCTGATAGCCTGACAGGTTTAGCTGATAGCCTGAGCTGAACAGAAATCATCATTGTGGCTCTTGTGAGCAATTCTCCGAAAATTCTTGGGAAATGGAGAAGAAATGAAAGGAAGGGGAAGAGGGGGAAATCAGAATCACGAGGAGGGAAAACCGAGTAAAGTCATCGTACGTGAATCACCTTTCAGTCCAAATGCAGTGAAAAATGATTGTACACTCTATTGGGGGAAGAAGGTAGCCCCAAATACAGCAATAATGCCACGTTCGCTTTGACAAAGACTACGTTCGTCCCCTGGCTACAGCCGGTCATTCAAAAGTTATAACTGCACTTAGACCGAAAGCGGCCCCAAATACAGCAATAATGACCGTACGTTGTATTCGGGGGGAAGAAGGTAGCCAGCTCTGAAAACATTAGAAAGGAAATTCAGTCACTCTGTCCTGGTTTAAGGGTTAATAAGATGTCCTGAAAATTAATAATGGGATCATGCCGGGAGCGGGTTGAAGGGTTGAGTGTTCAAACCAGTGGTCCCCTGTCCAGGTACGTTAAGCTGCTGCTTTGCACAGGTTTGGTATTTTAAGCATGCAGCTGGTATGTTAAGCTGTTGCTTTGGATAGGTTTGGTGTACGGCGAGTGCGCAGGCGGGGTCCCTTGGAGGGGGTAAAAGAAACTGACGTTTTGTCAACTTTGGCAAGTTCTCGTCCCAAATTCTCGTCCCTATAAGCAATTGCTCCATGTGGTCGGCCAGTGGGTGTTCACAGTTTGCAGGGTGATTGAGTTCCTTCCTGACTATTGTATGCTCTGTCACAAATGATTATGATGCATCCTTTGGCTGCTGAAGCTCTGCCCCCTTGGCTGCTGAAGTGCTGTGCAGTGCTGAAACTGCTGAAGTGCTGTCCAGTTCACAGTCGAATGGTTTCAATGATGGTGTTGCCTCGGCATTAAATCATCGAGGGATGTGGTGCGGCAATGGCGAGAGCTGCAAGATATCAAGGTTTCCTGTTCTAAAAAATATATAGTATCCACTGGTGATTTGGCCGTTTAGTACTACCCACCGGGGTTTTGGCCGTTTAGTACTAGAGAGCAATTGTTGTACGCTGGGGTGCTCTCAATGCATCCGATTCGGCAATTGCGCCCTTGCCTCGACGATTTTCAATTCCCACTGAGCCCGATTGCTGATGCATGGTAATCAACAGTTGAATGTCCTTTGTTATACTTTTCGGCGTTGTTAATCTTGTTTGTTTGTTTGTTTGTTTGTTTTTTTTTTTTTTTTNTTCTTTGGCTGTTTACTAGTTACAAAAAAAAAAAAAACAGCGTGGGAATCTCTGTCGATGTGGGTTTCACAAGTAATATTTGATTTTGAACATAGGGGATTTTGCCGATGTGCAATCATGAATCGCTACAGGGTGGAGTAGCAAAAATTCGAATACAATTTAGGTACTATACATATGTATCATAGGGAAAAGAAAGAAATAGAGCCTTCTTCAAGTTATATATATATATATATATAATATATATCGAGAGAATTCACGATCAAAATTTCAGAAATCAATTCCAAGTAAATTGAATATTGGGAAAAATTATTTAAACCAAAGTTGTAATTCAATTGTCATGGCGTTGAATATTTGGAATCGTTGATTACGAGTAGGATCCTCAGAGGCTATATGCCCAGCAACCATTCTCTCTCTCTCTCTGGTTGAAGAGCAGTACATAACCTCGCTGGTGGAAGAACTCCAGAATTACAATTGACCCTCTCGCTGGTGGACGAACTCTAGAATTACAATTGACCAAGTACAATTAACCAGCAGTACATAACCTCGCTGCTCGTGTTTTTCTGTGTCTTACAATTGACCCTCTCGCCAAAAAATCACAGGCTTGGGCCACACGGCATGGGTCACAATGACACCGCCAGTATCTTTGGCGGACATTTTTCTGACATTTTTCCGAACCTGGAAATTTGGAAACGGCCAGCTTAGTGCGCACCCAAAAAAAAACTAACTGCTGCGGGTGTTTGTTGAAGTGATGCTGACAGCCATTTTGCTCTGATAGCCCAACCCCTGACATTCATAGTGTGGTAATGACCGTCGCGAAGAAAAATGTGTGCGCGAGGTAGCAGTGGTTCAATGTCAAGTAAAATACTGGATACAAAAGCGTAATATAACAGATGTCCTACTGTGCCTTTTTCCAGGAGTGGGGAGAGGCACAAAACCCATACTGCATCCAGAGATATGGACAAGCTGAGGCAAATGGCAAAGTGGGTACGGTTCTCTTTGAGTTGTTATCTATGTGGGGAACCTTTTGGGTTTGGGATATTCGTAAGCACTTGCGTATATTTTACGTCACTCTCTGGCCAAAATGTACGCAGCAAAATTCAAACTCTTGGGTTTGGGATGTTAGATGCTTTTGCTCCACTCCTTGCTGAACAACTTCGAATCTTTTCTTTGCAAACGGTACAATCAGGAGTCAAAAACTCCATCCTAAATATGGTATGGTGTATATCAAGTGAATGGGGTGAACTCCCAATATCGTGATTCATGTACACACACACACACACACACACACACAGACACTCTGTCTGAATACGCTGCTTAGGTGACAGTCCACTGCCACATGGATGGTCTTTCACTTTGTATGATAACTTTTTTCAAGAGGGGTTTCCCGCTTATATGCTTTCAGTGGTTCTCCCATACCAACGTAGCTACCCGGCAATGCCACTGGCATGACAACCGGTCCACCATAGGTTGACCCATCCCTCTTGTACTAGGGATGGCTTCTCTAAGTTCTCTTCACGTACCACACCTCTCCGTCTTTTTTTATTTTGCAAATTCCATTGCTATTACCAAATCATGAAGACGGGAGTTGGGGACTGGCCTTCAATCTGTGCATCATCAAACTGTAAAGTCTGCGGCCATTCCTGTTGACGGGGTGGTACCTTGTGACACACTTTGCATTCGCGTTGGCATTGCTTTTGACTTTCGTCATTTGAAGGAGAGCTGAGATAAACCATTCAAAACTCTTTCAAATGCAGCAGGTCATTGGCATGGGCGTATGCTTTCTTTCACATCTCAAGGAATGCAGCTCGTGCATGCAATAAACCATGCAGTTGACAAATATCCGCTGAAAGTGACGTGGATGCTTTTACCGTAAGGAGGGTTGCCACACAGCTTTTCCCGATCTAGCAGTCCTTCCCACCGCACCGTTTATTGAATCATTGTACAAGAAAGCGAGTGATGTGAACTTCTATCAATAATGATCCTTTGCAGACGGAATGAACATCGGTGCTGTAGCGCCGTAGAGGTTGGTGGGTCCCTAATTTTTTGGCACAAGCCCCCCTTCAAAATCCTCTTTGTCCTCAACATACTCTTTTGCTGAAATAAATGGACCTGATGTGTCGGGTGTAGATCAGCACGTCTACTTAACATATGTATGTACAGATGAATGGAAGCTTTGGTGCACTGCCATCACAATGCACACAGCACATGGAGAACAGCCAGAGCACGGCGCAATTGTCGTCGCTGACGACACTACTCTTTTGCCGCCACATTATTCCCCTCTAGCCCTTTGTCGCCGCATTATTCCCCTCTAGCCCTCTCCTAACTGCAGTGTCCCGAAGCATCTTCAGCCTCCCTCCAGGAGCACCCAGGTTTATGCCAGCTGCCCCAAGCACTCCAACTCGCCTTTCGAGGTCCCCCTTCTCCTTCAGATTAGTCTCCCTCTCCTTTGGCTGCACGTCGTCGCGTGCGTTGGGATTCTCAGACTCATTGAAGTTGCTGCTCTTCGATGTCCTGAGTGTGTTGCCTTTGATGGCTTCATCCCCTTGATTGGCCAGTGGCGTATCATGTGCTACGGCTGCTGCTCCTCCGTCACCTGTGATTTCACCTTGTCTATCATCCCGATTGCTGTTCTCGACGGCAGCTTTGTAGATCTTTTCATGCAATTGTCTGTGAATGGGAGATAGAGTAACCCACACACCCGGCGTTATCGAGCAGTAGCTTCCGCCGACACCTGTCGCAGCTGTGCGAGATTGTCCCGGTTCAATTGGCGATGGAGGAAGCAAAGGCAATAAGCAATTCTCCAGAAGCGCCCTTCTTTCACCATGCGTGCTCATCTCTTCCCAAGCAAAATATGCAATCTGAAATCACAGGGCAACATGACAACATCTGTTAGGCATGATACACAC